GACACAAATTCTCTTGACGGCGTTATACCACCAGATTTTACGTAAAAGTCTCTTAGACTTTTTAACAAATTCCATTCATGCCCTTCTACCATCTTTTTAGTGAATGAAGTTCATCCATCCTTCAATATAAGTTTGAATATCTTCGCCACTGGAGTCTTCACAATAATCTATTCTTTATTTGCTGGACAGCCGCTAGGAAGCGTCGGTCCCTCCGGACCCGGATTCATTCTGGAAACTGTTATTGCCGTCGTATGTCCCTGTATAATGCTGAATAAAGTTAAACTTTTTTAATGCTTGCACGGATTAACTAAGGAGTTAACCCATCAGTATTTTTCTGGTTATTTTTCCAGTTAGCTTTCGAGTTGGGAGCTGACTATCAGGTGTATCGGTTTTGGACGGGAGTTTATATGGTTGCATTCGGCATCATCTTAATAGCTTTGAACCTTTCATCGACAGTCGTTCATGCCAGACGCTCCCTTGAAGAGATATTCAGTGCATTCATCTCACTGTTCCTTATCTTAAAGGCTATTTTTTCCATGTTTCGAGTAAGTGTTAATGAAATGCTTCATCTTCAAAAAACAACCAATTTTAGCGCTTTATTTAAAGGTTCTTTTTATTTTGATAGAGTTTGCCTGGAAGGATTTTTTATCCAACTAACTTTAACAACATCGACGACTTGAACGAAGCGCTTGAAAGCTTACAGATAGCGGCAAGAGCAGTTCTTCAACTTTTTCTCGCACTGATCATGCTGGTGTTTTCACTTCTCATCAACAAACTAAAAAGAAGTCACCTCTTTCGGCGTACGGTGAGTTGGAATCCGAGACACCTCTGTAAGCTTGCACAAAACGCAATTGTGTAAGTCAGTTATGCCTCACTTAGTTCCGCTACTGGATCGGAGCATTTAACGTGCCTTTGGGAATCGTGTTTGTCACCGGTCTGACCTACATCTTCTTTTCGAATTATCCTATCACTAAATTGGACATTCCACCAGCATCGCAGGCTGATCCTAGCTCCTGGATTACGCTGGTCGATTTCTCCAAGATGACAACCTTCACAAATCCTTCTCCTGCTCTCTTACACGGCACAGCTGTAGTTATCGGTTTCTTCTTTTGCCTTCTAATTTTCACGGAAATTGCTCTCAATAGGTAAAAATTTGGCAAAACTGCCATCGAATTCTCATTTTATATAATTTGTATTTATTTTGATGATGAGTTATCTAATTAGCAATAAATTAAGAGGTAGAACTAGGAAAATAAAATGGGGTATCGCGGTCTGAGAAGATGGCTCCTTAAGAAGTCGAGACCATCTAAAAGTATAGCATAACACTGTCGGAAAAACTGACAGCTACGCTTTGAAAGGGCTTTCTAAGTTGAATACGGTCA